ATACAGACACGTGAGTCGTGACCAAAGTCACCTCGGTACTAGTTTGGTTTTGAGTGATCAATTCATTTCTTTTTTCTTACTAAGGAAAATGGAAACATTTCAAAATAACATTTTTGAATTTCAATTTGTGGTAATTTTGATCATCATCAAGGTAAAGAAAATATATCTATTGGCTGAAGTTTGGTACCTGGATTAACCAGGCACAATTACTGGAAAATTTTCCTTTTTTAATCTGGATTTTTTTTTTGTGCATGTCTTTAGGTTGTAAAAAGGGCATGGAAAATTCCCATTTTTGTCATCTTTAGGGATCAATATTCCTTTTTTTTGAAATCCGAGTAGTTTTGCGGAACAACCAACTCTTCGTCGTTTTCCTCCAGAACATTTTCCTCTATTTTTAAAGAAAGGTAGGTACCTAGACCTACCAAGTATTTGCAACCATCACTGATGGGCTTCTCCCAAAGACCATTTTGTGAGCTAAGATTTCATTAGCTAGGTAAAATTCCAGAACATGACATCACTGTTATGGGGTTTAACCCGCGCCGCGTAGGGTGGGGGGGGGGGCGAAACGGCCCCCTGTCCTTTTCCGCCGATATATCCTAAACGGCTGCAGATATCGCCACCAAACTTGCAGGACCCCTCCGGGCATCGATTTTACACATTGTGACCAATTTTCTTTCCAGAGGCTATTATAGGTTGGCCACAAATGACGTCAGAATGACGTCATGTTCTGCCATTTTCGACCGAAAAAAGACCTTCGCGAGAAGAGCTGTCAGGCCTACAGCTTTGAAGATACAGAAATATGATCAAACATAAAAGGTGTAGAATTGACAGGGCTACAAAACCGCTATCTCGAATTTTTGAAATTTTTGAGCTTTGACCCCCAAAAATCAAAAAAAGCATTTTTTTTGATATATTAGCCAAAAAAAAAGTTTTTTAAGTTTCGTAGGAAACGGAATATATGTGATAGTACCTACCGTCTTCTATCTACATACCAAATTTCAGATTCGTATTTTGGCCAAGTTATAGCGAAAAAAGCGTTCAAAAATGATGACGTCAAATTTTTAAACTCAATTTTTGGCAATTCTAGACCACGTAGGGCAAAACAAAGGCCACCATTAGACTCCCCATGACGAGCTGCATCGAATCGATACCCATTTTATGAAAAATATCAACTTTGAAATTTGACCTAATTTGACCTGATCTTGACCTGACCTTCACCAAGACGTAACCTAAGCTGGCCCCAAAGGCTGCCTGACCCACATAATCGCATTTGTCATGTAAAATGGACCATAAAACATGTATCACACAACACTTTTATATTGTGACCCCCAGTGACCTGACCTAGTATCCGTGACCTCAGATAGCAATGTGTTTGCCGAACAATATACCATCGATGGTTTTCAATAACTTACCAATTTACTCGATTTCACAACATATTTCTTGAAATGCCTGTGAACGGTGAAAATCCGACCTTTCACCTGACCTGTGATGTCATCGGTTCGACCTAGGTCAATTAAATTTGGTCACAAGGTAGTTCCCCGGTGGGGCTATCAAACGCCGTTTGAATTTTGAAAATTGGCCGGTTAATTCCGAGATCTTGGGAGGGGGCCGCAACGCCCCTCCCCCTACGGGTGGTAGGGTCCGCCGATAGCCCTACGGGGCGCGGGTTAAGCTATTCAGTTATCTCATCTCAGAGTTCAATATTTGATTGCCTCTAAAATGACTAGGAAGGAGCCTACTCCTGTTTCAAGTCTTATTGGCTGAGAGGAATGATTTGTCATACAAATTTTTGACCTCCATACTGAGTTCCTCTGCAACATATTGCCATACCCACTTACATATCACATTAGGTGAGTTGAAACGATACTTATAAAACACAGCTTAATTTATACAAGAGGTTGTATGTACATGTAAGGCTGCCAGGTTGCATATTAGTAGGTTATAGGTTGTACAAAAGTAGCTAGGCTGTAGAAGAGCAGGCTGTAGGTAAGTAAAGAATAGGTCAGTAGGCTATGTCAGGCAAGGTTAGGTTAGGTGTTATTCCTTAACCCACACTTTGCTGGTGGCCTGAGAATTTTCCATGTCATGCTGGGGGGGGGGGGGGCGTTTTCACGCCTCCCCTCGGTCTAACTTGGCTCCCGGGCCACATAGTGACACACGGTACCTACCTAAGCGGCAATCGAAAAAGTGTCAAATACAATAGCTGAAATACTTTGGTCTTTATATTATAAGGTCAGGTAACCAGAGGTCATCAAAGGTCAAATTTTGTCTATTTCAACAATTTTCTAAACATCCGAGGCTAACTCTGGAACCAAAAGAGCAACAGCAAAGCAGAAAAGTGGATTACATAGCTCTTATAATGCTCTTTTCCCATGTACTCAGATTTGACATCAGGTCAATGGTTTAGCCTCCAGAGGGCAACAACTCTAAAAAGCTGTTTTCAAGAAAAATGCTTAGGTATTGGTTATAGTCCTAGAGAGCCACATTTTTTTCTATTTATATTTTGGCATCAGACCCGGGCTTTTATCATAAGCAACTCACATTCATACTCAGTAGTTAGTGCACTTAATATACACAGCAGTGGTACGAGGCCATGCCCTTGGGACATGCCACCGGACCGAAGGAAATGAACTATAAGTTGACCTTGAAAGGTCTTGTGAATAAAATTGACTTCAGGACAAGCAAGGTCATGACCTGACCGGAAAGACCTATCATTCTAACCAAAATTTATTATATTAAATGTTTGAATGAATGAATTGACAGACCCAGAGCTTACACAAAGCAAAGCTTGTTCTGTAAACGCCTACTCCTACCATTTGGTCGTACAATGCTGAGTAACTGGAAAATATCATGCCCAAGTTTTGCGTGCCCTTCAAAGCCAGACACTTCTGTACATTCAACTGACTTCAACTGGCTGCAGTTTCTCCATAAGCACTATCTATTTTGGTCCATTAAGCCTTTGAGCTTGTTTTTAATACAAAAATAGGCTAAAACAGTGCGTAACGCATCCACTTATCGACGGTGCGCCACAATTGTAAAAAAAGGCGCGACTACTTACGCTTCATCTTTGAACTGCTCTCCAGTGTGCGGTATGGTAAAAATGTTATCTTCTGACTTCACTCCAACCAAAGGCTTTGCAACAGCAAAAACACGACGCTGGTATATTGGCATTTTTAGAATAAAACGAGTTCCGGCATATTACACCACACTCGCCGTGATCGCGCGCGCGCGCCTTTCCGTAAAACACAACAGTGATCATATATGTTACAAATATGCGCAAATAATTGATGACGTCATTAGTAACTCTACTACGCTTCAATTTTTATAGGTGAAAAAAGGCAACTTCTCGGTTTTCCAAGTAAATGAGCATCATGTATAGCTAATAAAGCTGTTTATAGATGAGTGCCGCTCAAGCAAAAACAATTCATTATGTTCTGTCTGTAAAAGATCATTGCTTTCTGGAGTGCTTTGAGCGTCATCAAAATCATCATTTTTCTTAGGGCTCATTACGCAATCTTCACCTCGCTCCTTACCTTGCAGCTTTTGTACAAGAATTTTGCCATTACAGAGCCAGAGCGCCAGATGGCGCCAAGGCCCTAAAACAACTTATACGGCATTGCATAGGCGCGCATAGGCGTAGGCAAGGCAGTATATACCAGGTAGAATCATCCCAGTGCGCAGCTTTTCTGCGCAGGTGGCGGGATGACGTCACCGAGGGTGCACAGCCGGCCGGCGCCGGCCGCCGCCGCCGCGGGACCGCTCGGCGGGCGCGGCTATTGAAATACAAAGCGAAAAGAGCATGATCGAATGAAAAAAGGGCACAAATGGTTAAATTGAATCGAGGTAAGTAAGGTAAGGTCAGATTAGGTAAACAGACTACATTCAAAGCTGCGACTGAGACTACCGACGGGTGGCAGTCGCGGATATCACGGGACTCGGCAGACGGTAGTATGGGCCCGCAGATTCGCCGGTGGGTGGCCGTCTGATGCGCCGGTGTTGATCCTATGATAGATCGGTATAGGGTACTCAGAGGCAGGGCTTTGTACGACAGAGTGCGGCCCCCAGAGTCGTCGGTTCGGAGCCCCTACAGGTGCCGGTGTGGAGCTATGAAGCGCTGAAATGGAGTCTCAGGCCCGGGCAGGTAAGGGACCCAATGGAGCTCAACAAGACTATTGAAGAGCTTGTGTGGTGCCTTCAGTAGACCTGTGGGGCCCTTGAAGACCGGCGTGGTACTCTGGGATGCCGACGGGGGCCCTCAGAATCACCAGTGGGCGGCCATCGGATGACGGATGTGCCGGTGAGACGAGTCGCTGATATAAAGAAGTCCTACAGGTGCCGGTGTGTGGCTATGAGAGCCCTGGCGTTTACTTTCAGAGGCAATTATTGGACCTATTGAAGCTCAGCGAGATTTAAGAGCTGTCGTGGTGTCTTCAGAAGCCTGTACAACCCTTGAAAACCGGCGTGGTACTCTCAGGCGCTGATGAGTGCCCTCAGAATGGCCGGTGTGGGCCATCAGAGGTGCCAGTGTGCCGTGTGCGGTGTGGGGCCCACAGAAGCACTGGTGTGGAGCCCTTAGAGGTGCCGCTGTGGGGCCAAAAGGGGCGCCGGTGTGGAGTCCCGAGAGGCGCCGAGATGGGCTCTTGCAGAAGTCGATGTGGGGGCCGCTATGAAAAGCGCTGGCGTGGGGCTCTCAGATGGCGGTATGAGACCTATCAGATCTAAGCGTGACTATGTGAGAGATTGTGTGTTGCCTTTAGTGGCCCGTAGGATGCCTTCCGGAGCTCTGAGCGGTTCTCAGAGACCTGCATGGTACTCCAAGACGCCAGCGGGGCCCTCAGAGTCGCCGTTGGGCGACCGTCAGATGTGCTGATGTGGGCCTCCTCGGGGGTGCACAGCCGGACGGCGCCCGCCGACGCCCTCAGGGACCTCTCGGCGAGCAGCAATATAACCCGCCGCTGTCATACAGCGACAATAATCTTACTTTTTGCTGGCACCGTAACTCTCACTTTTTCGTTGATATTGCGAGGCGCGCAATTCCATTCCTGAAGTCATACTCAATGACAAGCTTACGAATAACAAAACAGTTTCGACCAATATCACTTCGCATTAACCACCGTTGAAATTAATATGCAGACGACTTTACACAGCTTCCACTTCGCACATATATCGTTGTTAACACTTTCCAAGTTTCCCAGCAGATTAACACAAGAAGCAGCGCAATGCATCAAGTATTTTAGAATAGACTACACTCCAGATGCGACAGAGACTGCTGCCGGGTGCGAGCTGAGGATATCTAGGGACTCGGGGCTGCTGGCCCTCAGAGTCGCCGGTAAACGGTGGCCGGTGGGTGACCCTCAGATGTCATATCATGGGACACGCCAGTCGACGGACGGCACATGAGAACTCCACTGGGAACTGACAGGCGACAACACATGATATATATTACACAGCTCTTCGAACGGCGGATATCACTGTTCTTCGATGACTGTGACCAGCTTCTCTGGCTGACGACGGCAGCGACATTGCAGGTCCCCGCAAACGGCGGCGATAGGCAGGAATCAATGTGGAGCTGGCTGGCCTCGGCAGACGGCGACGACCGAATTGCAGGCCCCGACAGACGACGGCGATGAGCGAAGGTCCAGGAAGACGGCGGCGATGAACGGCACTCATCTACTTGTGCACACACCTGCACCAGCACAGGGGGGACAGATATTAACATTAAGCACATGAACAGATACACAAACCCATGCTCTTTCCTCTCACTGGCACATGATAGGAGAACGCACAGCCCACAGGTATATTTCTCTCATAGATATGCACATCGCACATGAACACACACAAATAACATACATATAACATATAATCAGACATAAGCATGATCATTTTATGAGTCTTCAAAATGTTTGAGGTGAGATATAAGTACTATGGTTGTCCTGATAATGTTGAGTGATGCTGTTATTGTCACAGTTTTGCAGCCAGTTGCTTCTCTCATCATCATCAGAGTTGCCTGACCCTTAGACTTAATCAGCACTGGCCCTTCTAAGAGTAATACAAAATCTAATGACATATGAAGAAGCAGCTAGATGAAATGTTGAGACAGGTTTGGCTAATACTCTAGACAAGTCTAGCATAAGGCTGGCAATAGTAATAAATCTATTTCTTTGGTATAAAAATTAAATGGTCCATACTATTTACCAGGCATCAAGGACAGTTGGTGCTTTGCCTCCGCCATCAGCCACAGCATCAGTGGATAGGTTGCTGGTTGGATGAACTGGTTGGGTGGTTGGATGAACATTTTCAGTAGAACAGTGCTTGGAACAGACTGCTTACATTGAGAAATCCAGCTTGACAGCACGTTCTTCTCTTTGGATAGGTTATAGGTACCTATTTAAAAAGTTCAGTTCATCATTTTCTTCAATCAACCACATTACCATGAATACAAGTACAAGTTGATAATGATCTGGCTATGACTTGGCTCAACCTCACTCCATCTTCAAAGTTTATGCTCACAGACCAAGATCTGAAAAAGAGCATTATCATATCAATATAGGACATAGGTACCTACGTACCAATCAAAACCTTGAGAACTTATCACAGATATTGTAAAATCCCATGATTGAACAAAATAAGGCAATTAGGAAAACATCACATCAAATAGTTAACAACCTAACCGCAAGAGTCCAGACTTTTAGCCGAAAAAACGGTTTCAGGCAAGAGCAGGTATGCTAGTAGGTACCTATGCGATTTAACGTTCACATTTCACCACACAAGGATACTGAGGAGCATTGCCGCATTGTCAATAATCTAGGCATACAAACATTAACTTCAGCAGGCCCATGCAGGCAGAGTATTAAAAAATGAGAAAAGATCGACGAGATTTACTTTGTGGGACGCTGAGGGCTTCCTTAGCTATATTATCAAAAAAGTGTTCACTGTTTAAGTCCTATCTTCAAACTGTAGCCTGTAATCTCAATTAACAGTCAACTAGGCAATAATGTTGTGCACCAAAGACTTATTAAAAATGTTCCCTAGCTGCTGCAAGTAATATTAGATATCTATAATAAGGTAACTTATCATATCTCCAATAAAACAACCCACCCAGTGTAACGTGCACCTATACTCACAAATAATATCAACGGAATTCATCACTTTTTTTTTTTTTTTTTTTAGTGGCCCTAACTTACGTTACTGGCCTCGCGAGGAGGGCGGCGACCTAACTACGCCGCGCAAAAGAAACCGGCCGTCCTAACTAAGACCGGTGGCCACTTTTACTGCAAGACAACATGGGAAAACCCATATCCATGTACTATGCCATGAATATGGGGAAAAACCCATGAATTTACGTTAAGATACATAAATGACAGTGAGACTTACCGTTAAATTGATGTTTGTGAGGGGAGGGAAGGAGGAAGTTTGTGAATGGTAATTGGTAGGGTTACGATGTTACGATAAAAGTTGGATGATAGGAATGGTTTAAAGAGTGGAGGATATGTCGCTGCCGCTGTTGAGGGCCGATTGTTGTACTCCGGCCTGTGGTCGCCCAAACCCGGCCGCTGCCGCTGTTCAGCGACCGGGTCCGTGACTGAAGAATCCTTGGCCGCTGCTCGTCGTTGTGCAGTGGGTGAAGGGACAACCCCAGAGTATGTGGACAGTTCCTTGCGATGATACCGAGAAGGATGAAAAAAAACGCTTTTCGCATTCGTTCGGCGACTATATATTCCTTGTAATGCGGTATGCCTAAGGCCAAGTAATGGTGCTTACTTTACAGTTTGTCGGAATAAGGTGAGTTTAAGACAAAATCAAGTACTAGATCAGTTAGTGCTGGATCATCTCCGAGAAGAGTCGGAAGATCGTTTCTGAGGCGATATTTTGTAAGGTAGTTGTTGATATGTTTTCGTTCGTTGCGGAGGGCTGTGCATCCGATTAGAATGTGTTCAACCGTAATGCGTGTGTTGCATGTTTGGCACATTGGTGGGTCCGTCCTTTCGAAAAGATGACAGTGGGTGAAACGAGTATGTCCGCATCGTAGCCTTGCCAGTGTAACCTCGCGAATCCTATTTGGCTGGTTGCAAGTTATCCAGGATGTAAGATTTTGCTTGATCGCATATAAATGAGGAGAGTGGGTTTGATTCCATTTGTTTTGTAGGTAAGTATTAAATTTTGTTCGGAGTTTGTGGCAGACGTCCCCGATCGAGAGAGGCACCCCACTAGGGTCTGCTCTCATTGCTCCTTCCTTAGCGAGGGTGTCTGCCAGCTCATTCCCTGCGATGCCACAATGACTTGGCACCCAAAGAAAAGTTATATGCTGACTTTCGTCTAGTTCTAGTAGCATTTTGTGGATATTTTGGATGCAGTAGTGGGTGACGTTATCAGTTCTTTCTAGAGCCTGAAGGGCAGATTTGGAATCGGTGCAGATTATTGCCTGTTCAATGTGAAGTGTTTGTATATGACGGACTACCGTTTGAATAGCGTGAACTTCTGCTGAAAAAATAGTGGCATGGTCTTGCAGGCGTATTTTGTATCTGATATTCGGGCCCACGGCTGCCGCGCCCGTTTGGTTTGAAAGACATGAGCCGTCAGTGTAGAAGAATGTGGAGTCTAGGTTTCTCTGTACATACTCATGGAACAGCAATTGGGCATCCATTGGCGAAATGTTAGATTTTGAATCGTTAAAAAGATATTCAATAGAGATGTCTCGCAGGAGCCAGAAGGGAAGCATAGGCGGTTTAGAGGCAACGTTTATTTGGCCAATGTTGAGTATCTCATGAGCCTGATTTATAATTTCTGGAAGGAAGCACGACCTGCGGAGAGGTTGCCGGGAAAAGGGTTTCCTGGCTTCCATCGCTGGAATTGCAGAATGGTTCGGAATACTTTTGGCGCGATAGTAGTATCGTAGGAAAAGGAAGAAACGGCGGTCTTCTAGTGCTGGCAGGTTTGCCTCCATTCGCAGGGAGAGAATCGGTGTTGTGCGGAACGCTCCGGTTATCATCCGTAGACAATTTGATTGTATGGCTTCGAGCCGTTTACAAAGAGTGGGCGAGAGTGTACTAAAAAGGTAACAGTTGTATTCGAGAGTAGATCGGATGAGTCCTATATAAAGCATTGACAACGTTTTTCTGTCCGCACCCCAGGTAAAACCTGAGATGCATCTTAGGGCGTTTATTCTTTTAAGACAACGTGTCCTGATGTGCTCTACGTGGAGTCGAAAAGTCAGATTTGAGTCCAGGATTATCCCCAAAAATTTGTGGGATGTGTAAAACGGGATTCTATTTCCATCAATCTGTGGCGATTCGTCCAAGGACGGTAGAGGTCCCCTTTTAAAGACCATCAGAGCTGACTTAGGAGCTGACAGAAAGAAGCCCCATTTCTTACACCATTGAACGCAGTGATCGATTACCTTTTGTATAATTGAAAAGGCTTGTTTATAGCTTTTGTGGGAGACCCATATTGCAATATCGTCGGCGAAAAGTGAGTAACGGACAGAGAGGGTAAGAAACCGTGGAAGTGATAAAAAGACATCATTAATAGCGATTAGAAATAGGGTAGGTGACAATACACTTCCTTGGGGTACACCGTGCTCCATTCGGAAAGCGTCAGAGAGCGTGGTTTGACAACGAACTCTGAAGGTGCGAGGTTTGAGGAAATTACGAAGAAAGATGGCCAAATGGCCTCTAATGCCGATTGAATGCAGTTTGTTCAGAACCGTCGAGCTGTGTACTTTATTAAAGGCAGAAACTAGGTCCAGGAAAACAGCAACTGTTGGTTGGCGACGTTCCCAGTTAACTTGAATGTCAGAGATTAGACGAACGACATTATCTGCCGTGCTGTGGTGTTGACGAAATCCACTTTGGCAGGAGTCTATGCATTTTTTATCTTCCAGGTAGTAACGCAAGCGGGTGATCACCATGCGCTCAAAGATTTTGCAAATACAGTTTGTGAGAGAGATTGGGCGGTAGGAATTTGGGAGTTGAGCGTCTTTGCCTGGTTTTAGAATCGGAACGATAATACTCCTGAGCCACTCATCCGGGAAGGAATCATTTAACCAAAGATTATTTAGGGCGATGAGTAGAGTGGATAGGTTTAGTTCGTCTAGGTTGATGTAAAATGCGTAAGGAAGACCATCAGGGCCTACCGACGTCTTGGGGCTGGCCTTTGCCAAAGATAATTTAAGTTCGCGAAGGGTAAAAGGAACGTTATAGGACTCAGTATTAGCTGAGGAAAAATCAAGATTATTGGTTTGGCTGATAAGGATTCGATGAGTATTTGGATCGTAAATCTCTGTCGAGGAAGCGGCTGCAAACTGTCTAGCGAGAGCATTTACGACTTCAGGCGGGGCCGTTATGAACGTGTTGTTTATACGCAGTTGGGGGAAGGGGCGTGGAGCGGTTCTTCTGGAAGCAAATGACCGAACTTGGGACCATATCTCGCTGAGGGGGGTGAATCGGTTACACTTAGCAGCGTAATTTTCCCATGCTTCCTTTTTTTCCTTATATATAATTTCAGCACATTCTTTTCGTGCTGCTGAATAGAGGTGGGCGTGTCTATCACAGATACACCTTTGAAATTGCTTGTATGCCCTTTTCCGCAAAGCCTTGGCTCGCTGACATTTCCAATTCCACCAGGGTGGATTTTTAGGTAAATTTGGGCCACCGACTTTGATGGTTTTTTCTTTTATCGTTTCACTGGCTGAAGCCCTTACTGCGTTTATGAAGTTCGATATCGTACGGGTCATGCTGTAAGGGGAATGACGGTTGACACTCGCGTTAAATGCTTTCCAATCAGCCTTACCCGTTTTCCATATTTTGCGTTCAATTATAGGGGACAGTGGTGTGGCGTTGGCAAGCTCAATGGTTATAGGAAAGTGGTCTGAGAAAAGGGGGTCTGGTGAAACATTCCATTTGAAAAGCGGGGCTATTCTGGGGGAAGAGATTGATAGGTCAATGGAGGATGTTGTATGATAGCTGTGGCTGATGAAAGTCGGAGTTCCATCATTCATAGTTATAAGAGATTGGCGGTTGAGTTCAGTCTCTATGATCCGCCCTCTTGGAGTTAGCTGTTGGCTGCCCCATAATGGACTGTGGCCGTTGAAATCGCCTAGCATCAAACAGTGTTCAGGCATTTGTCTAAACAGAGCATTTATGGTATCACGGTTAACAATGTTTGAGTTGGGTGGCAAGTACACCGATGCGACCAAAACCTCTCGATTAAACAAGGAAATTGTTACCGCTACCACATTAAGTGTGGAAGCCAAGATTGTTTGACGCTGAGGAAGAGAGTTCGCTACATATAGTGCAACCCCTCCCTGTCGATTTGGCATATTTATGTCATGTCTATACAATGTGTATCCAGGGACATCATAATTGTAGTGATCAGAGTTCCGAAAATGCGTTTCTTGAATTGCTGCTAGAAGAGGAATTTCTTTTTGTAGATACTGCTTAAATTCTGATAGATGTGAGAGAAGACCTCCTACATTCCATTGAAGAAAATGCATGAACACTGCTTACAGCAAGGGGCTGTGATGACCTATTCAGGAATGAAAGACCGTTTGGTCACAGGCTGCGATCGTACGCCCATGTTCTTCTTTTGGACTGTGCGTGATCGGAGGCGAGTGCTCGGTGTCTTCTGGGTGAATTGCGTCAGAGACGAGTCAGAGTCACTATCGCTATACATGGCTGGCGATCGCTGCAGGGAGAACTGTTTTTCAAAACTTATTGTTTGAAACATCTGCGCCAGAGCCGTCAATTCTGTCAAAATGTCCTCTAAAACACAGCAATGATTTGACGCTCCCCACTAATTCACTGCAAACACTAAAAGGCATTTCTTTTCTCAAAAAGCATTCAAAAGCCGATGTTAGTGAACAAAAATGAAAGACTGACTGCTGTTCTTTGATTTTAAATGGCTTTTAATGAAGAGAAACATCAATTTATGACATTACGAGCCAGGATCGAAGTGCACCCTCGGTGACGTCATTTGTCCCTGCCGCCCGCTGAGAACCGTGCACGCAGGGCCCAATGGGGATGACTACGGCCACGGTATATAGAGAACTAGGTAAAACCGGTTTGCCGCTTCAACACTAAGGTATTTTGACCACTATTTTCAGCTGACCTCTTCAGTCCAAAAAAAGAAAACTATGCCACATATTTCAATATATTTCATTATTCAAATATATATTTTTAAATTATGTACAGAGAGCACAGCTTATCAAAATCTGTAAAGTAACAACGAAAATAAATTTTTGTCCAACTCCGCCATTTCGAAAATAATGGTTCTAAGGTTTTAGGGGTTTGTCAGGGACAACATTATTTTTCTACTCTTAAAATTTAAAATCAAAAATGAAAAAGTAATATCATGGGCAAAAATTGTTTCCTTGAATAACAAAATCAGCATAGTGCTGAACTTCTCAGCTTACCGGACCTGCCATTGTTCTACCACAAATTATCGATTAATATCAGTGATGTGGGGTTCTAAATATGGTCAGAAAACATCAAATTTAAATTATCTTTCAGAATCTGTGCATTATGTTGCCTTTTAAATGTTAAAAACTGAATTTAGATGATGTTGAATACACATCCGCCATTGGTGTCCCTGGTCACCCTGTTCCACTAAATGTAGTATTTTTCAAAAACTAGCCTATGGCGGTGTCTAAAACATTTACCAAAATTTACAAAATTGTCTACACTATTAGAAATCAGAAAGTTTAAAGCTCTATGACCTCTGGCATTTTGACAAATTACTTCCGAGTTTCGAACTTAGATTTTTGAGAACCCAACATTTCTGAACGAAATCATTGCTTCTTGGTCAAACTGTCAATCATATGCTTTCAAAAGTTATTTATTATAACCAAAATTTAATTTTCTTTCCAGATATGTATATTTAATTGCAATTTAGAAGGTGTTAAATTACATTTTTTGTTCTAGAATGAATTGCCATTCATGCTGCTGAAGGTTACACTATGGAAATTAACGAAATATTACTAAAAAACAAGCCTATGGCGGTGTCTATTTCAAGATGAATAATAAACAAAATTCAATTGTCTATTTGTTGATATAAGTCGTAAAGCATGATGACCTCTGGCATTTACGAGGTTTGGTGTTGAAAACTGCAGGCCATGATTATCACCCACAGTTGCGCACAGTTTTCTGTACTGCTTTCGCTAGCAAACGCCAGTGCTTGCATTTGATTGGTCTAACGGCGTTTCTTTTGCTAATTGAGAACACTCTTCAGTTTTATTTTAGTTTCTGTGTATTTTGTTGATTTTGTTGTCGGGGATTTGGTGGTATTAGGCAAGGTATTAGGCATTTTTCAGTCACACGGTTCCCGTGGTATTATGGTAAGCACTTTTAATGTTTTATTGTGAGAGGCTACGTGTGCCATATTAGGTGATTTTGTTTTAAGTTTTTGTTCTATGGTTTAGTTGAGATGCAAATCACCAGTGCAGAGTTTGTTGCAAGCTGCAAGGCGTACATTGTTTGTTTTTATTGATTTGTCATGCCTCAATTACCAATCCTTCGAAGTATGTAGTCTACCGTAAGTCTTTATAAACCTAATACCTAGATTCATTTTGTGCATCCGCTCTCTCTTTGCGCGCTTCCATGGTGTTCTCCCTCTCAATTCCATCCTCTTCTTCTCGGCGTATCAACCCCCTGCTTCGGATGGCCATTGAGGTAGGTGCCTTTGGAGCTTGCAGCAATGAGCGTTAGAATTGAATTACCGGAAATAAATGATGCTGTGAAAATTAATCAACAAAAGCTGACAAGGATTAGCTATTAAAACATTATATCACTAAAAAAGTATATTTGTGTAGCGATCATGAGATACATGCCCTGCCCCTCTGGCCAATCCTGGTCAATCCTGCTCCTGGTTGTACAGACAACTACCCTATGTGGGAAGCCCGAAGCTCCCCCAGGAGTATGGCCATAATAGCTGGGTTTGGTGAGTGTCACAGGACTGATGCTGATGCTGATGATGTGGTCGGGCTGTCACCTTTGCATTGGTAGCCCTATAAACACAGGTCGGGGGGGAGGGTATTAGTAGGATAAGCTTAGGATGTTGGTTAAGCCCTTTCCTCGTCACCCGCCTCTGTCACCAGTTTTCTCCTCAGCCTCCAGAGCTGGTAGGTAGAGTCCATCCTTGTTCTGCTCCATCTCTTTTCTATCATCGTTGAAGAGGAATGCTTTCAGTACCTCCTTGGGTTCTTCCACGTATGGCCTCAGTAGAGCTAGGTTTCATTGTCTTTCTTCTGTTAGCTTGGTACACTCTAGCATAAAATGGACTTCATTTCCTTCTTCTTTTCCACAGAGCTTAATCACCGTTATCACCTCATCCACCGTCTGTTCAATGTGTGAGGAATACGGAGACAAAGGCTGCTTGATAATTAAACAAGTTCTGTGCTTTCTCAGGAAGTCAGTACTTTGTTAGATACCTATGTGATGAGTTTAACGTAGACAATTGCAGTCTTATGTGTCGATGAAACTAAAAGTCTTGGAAACATGATAAGCTTAGCATAACATTCTGCCATTGTGTTCATGTGGCTGGCTTTGTCGTTTCTATTGTAGGTATGCTTTGTGGTTTCTGAGTTCTGACCATATTATCTTCCACCAGGTTCATTGCTGGCAGTGGTTCAGGAGGCAGTGGTTTGATCCCAGCTGTAGAACGTCACCTGCAGGAAGTAGCATTATGATGGCCAGCCACGTGGCGCGTGTATCCAGCCACATTGTCCAGAAATCATCACATCATCTCCAGGTCAGTAACTGTGTGGACCAGTCCAAGGCGTTCACAGACCACAGGTCATGCTGTGTCGTACCACGTCACTAGGTCAGTGACGTAATGGCATTGTGTGACCCGTCGCCGCGTCCTTGTAAGGACCACTCACCTATAGGTGGGTGGCTCGGGGGAACTTTTTGTGTTGCCGGGATGGGATGTCTGCTAAATGCGGGTGCCGCTGCAAGTGTCGTGACGTATGATGGGTCTGAGGTTCGGATTTCGATTCGTCGAGTGAGAAATGTGTGTACAGGCTAATGTACATAATGTTATTATAGCTGAGTGTGCGACAGGAAACGTTAATCATGAGCTGTGAGTCGTTGTTGCCGTGGCTCGTAGTGGTATTTGACGACCGTCGTGACCTGTGACGGTCACCGTGACTGCTATGTGATGGTCGCCGCGTTTGGCATATGACGGCCGGCGTGACTTCTATAACGGCCTTCGTGACTGAAACGTGACGGTCGTCGTGATGTGCCGCGACTCGCTGCTTTACAGGTCACTGGTCGCGGGTGCTCGAGCTGACTGTGTCTTCAACGGCTCCACGGTGACCAGCGCCGCCACCGCCGAGACCATCCGATTCCTGAAATGATAATGGCCGTACACGAACAAGAGGCTCTATGCATTCAGGTGCGAGTCAAGCGCCATGCTCAGAGGCGTCATCCGGAGAAGGCCGCACAGTGCACTTTAGGCTGAGCTCGGGTGTAGTGCGCGCTGACGGATAGGATGAAATTACGGGCCGGCCATCAGATTCCAGTGCGGGGATCAAGATGGTCGGAGCCGACGTGGCTTGGTTGATGGTGTGTCAGGGTCAGGGGTGGAGAAATAGGCCGAGTTGGGGTTGCACGGGCGCAGCAAATCCGCCGCCGCCCTAGCGGTGACCTTGACCTCCGCCGTCTGGTGCGGCTCCAAGGCCAAGCCGGCGCAGCCGGCGTGGAATTGGGAAGGCTCGTGCTACCCCAACTCGGCACAATTGTCCACCCCTGGTCAGGGCTGATTGAAAGTGGAGGCGAGACGACCGGATGTGAAGGATACACCGATACGGGTCTCGACGTCGTCTCGCAATTTGTGCTATGTAATATGACGGTTATGCCGTGGTATCATTCACTCTCGATGCGCTAATAAGTAGTAAATAGGACAGAGACTGGAATTAATATTATTATATTTGGATGTAAGGGCCAGGTTTTGGCCAGCGCTATATTAGAAATCGTGAGCGTGCTAGTTGCAATCAATCGCGCGCTTCTTGCTGAGCATCTGTGAGCGAAAAAAAAAATACCTTCTCTAAAACGTTCGTCGTAAAATATGTGTATCTTTGGAATAAGTTGTCAGAACATGAATGCATTTTTGGTGTCCACTGCAGCTGCTGTTCTGGAACAGAAACATACCGAGATCGGCTGTGTATGTACTATGTACGCTGTGGCAAAATCAAGCAGCCGGGCCATGAGTCAAAAGCGATATGTGAATTTAAGTTGATATATTTCACTATTTTAAACAACTAAACGCCTACGATCACTGGAAAGTAAATAAACAATAGATACCCATGTGGCTGTCTTGTCTGGCGTGATCCGAGACTCTCTCTCTCTCTCTCTCTCTCTCTCTCTCTCTCTCTCTCTCTCTCTCTCTCTCTCTCTCTCTCTCTCTCTCTCTCCCTCTCTCTCTCTCTCTCTGACTGTTGTTGCTGACGCACAAAAGGACAACACGGCCGAATCGCGACGATGGAGAGCACGGAACGATGCTGGTGACTGGCGGACCAGCGAAAACAGGAAAGGAGATGAATAGCTCTAGCTCCCGTCTGCGCGCGGAAGGGCGATGATTGGCGCGGCTCCGGGCTCGCAGACCCCATTGGCTCATCAGACTGTTGTTGGTTTTCTCCCTCCCCCCCCCCCCACAGGCGTAGCCAGGTAGCTAAGTTGTGCGCGGAAGCGGGCGGCCAGAGCGGCGCTAGGTGTCGCCCTCCCAGCGACCGGGCAGTGCAGCTGGACGTGCCCCGGATGGTCCGCCTCTGATCTCGGCACACTCGGCGGAGTGCGGCCGGACACTCCATGGAGTTGCATAGCGTCGATAGGCCGTATGGTGTCGCTGTCGTAATTATAAACGCGTAAGTAGAAGGTTGAAGCAAGATATAGAATGCTTCTCTTTACATTTAATATCGCAAAGCACAGCTTTATGCGCTGGCTACGACATGTGCGTGTCGGTTGCGGCAGTGATCATCGAAGAAATATATGATTTATAAACGTTTCTTGATCATAGAATGATAAAACATTGCAATATTTGCCTGTTGTGAAGAAAACTTCTATATTGCCGCTCTATCGTCCGGAATTATTCGTGTTTGATTACGTCAATTCCGCCACTCTATCAGCTGATTTTTGTTTCCGAGTCACGTGACCAACCGGTGTCTCCCTGACTACGGCCTGGGCGTAGGAACAGGGGGGGCTGGGGGGGCCATGGCCCCCCACTTTCGGAGGTGGGGGGGGGGGCCAGCAATGTTAACTGGCCCCCCCACTTTTTGCTGACTTAAGTGTCTGTCTTTACCTAGGTACCAGTGCTACCACCCGGTAACTTGACAACAATTCAGCTTGCCCTTTAATGAAGACTCCCTTTTATTTCTACAGCGTTATTGACCGCAATTTCCTTCACTCAATGAAGGAAACCATATCAGAGACAAGACTGTGGGTCCTGGTGACAGCATTTTGTTGAATACGAGGCACGGGACAGCGAGCACTGAAAAGGTATAAGACAATACTAGCACGGTGCAGGAGAATGCGTATACAAACGACCAACGCTTGACCGGATCTGCTTGGGGTCGGCATAGTTCGTCAAAGGCGTACTAGCTGGGGGCCAGGGTGACCATGCCCCCGCCTCGGCTCAAACAGGCTGGGGGCCAGCTATGTCTGTATCCGCCCTTACCCTTCCACTTTCAGTGCAGTGGCGGTCGCAGAGGGGGGATCAGGGCCATGCCCTTCCCCCCTCCAAAGGCTAATCAGGGGGCCATCATATCATTTGCCCCCCCAAACAACCAATGAGCCTCCATGGGCGTATGAGGCTGCTGCTGGTCTCTGGGGTCCAACACCGGCCCATGCTGGTATTTTAGGGTCCCACATTGACCTCTAAGGGCCCCACACTGGATTCTGAAGATCCTATGCCGGTCTCTAAGGGTCCGCATCGGCCTCTGAGGACCCATTTTGGCCTATGAGGGCCTTCCGCTGGTCTCTAGGTTCCAGGTCCCGCCCATGCCGGTCTGTTACGGTCCCACACTGACCTCTGAGGGCCTTGCACTGGATTCTGAAGACCCGATGCTGGCCTCTGAGGCCCATCTTGGTTTTTGAGGACCTTCTGCTGGCCTCTGGGGTCCAACACCGGCCCATGCCGGCATTTTAGGGTCCCACACTGACCTCTGAGGGCCCATGCTGGCCTGTAAGGGCCCACATTAGCCTCTGATGGCCCAAGTCGGCATCTAAATGTCTCATCCTGCCCTTTGCAGGCCCTGTACTGGTCTCTGAGGGCCTCAACCCTCACCGGCCGATGGGGGGGGGGGGTGCCGCCCCTCCATAGTTTTTTTTTCGCGATAGCTCCGAACACGCCGGTGATAGAGAGCTGAAGCTTTGCATACCTGACCTTTGAATCAAGCCGGATCTTTTGACACCAACCGCATTTTCGGGTCAGATCAGGTCACTGACCCATGAGGTCATAAGTGAACCTCTGCACGGTCTTCAGATGTCGCAACTTCGCAACGCCCTCACTGCCAGAGGAGATTTCACAGAAAAATGAACCTTGGAGGGCCTACCCAGCTAACAATTTGCCGTTGTTACAACGTCGTTTAAAGGTAGTGTGCCAGCTTTCTTGGACCGTATGGAGTTAATGGCCCAGATAAGGAGAACCGGATTTTTAGAACTTATCCATACCTTCAAAACTCATGGAAACGTCTTAAATTCTTCAAATTTTGAGTACCCCAGTGCGAAATTCGCCCCGACGGGTTGTCGGTCGTACCCCAACCACATTTCACACCACTATGAACAATAAATGCACACACTGAAATCGCTATTACCGATATGCTCATCCAATCAAGTTTCGATAAACCCGTTCATCATCATCTCCTGCGGTTTCGAACACGCCTGTTAGGTGGCTTCTGATGCTCGTCGAGGTCGGAATTTCCAAATACGCGTGGTGCGTCGGGCCGCGCGCTCTGACTTCGGCCAAGAAAAATGCGTCAGCTGATCATTGTCATTTCTGCCACTTGCGTGTGGTGAAATGGGGTCGTAACTTATAAGACGGCTTTTTCATATCAATTATTTTACATAAAATCATATTTCAAACCATAAATAATGTTCGACAGCCAAATAAAAGAAACAATACCAATACGGGCTTACAGTTTAAGGCTCGACATTGTGTTGTCTACGATTAGACAGCTGATAACTCATTCCCGTACGTCGTATGGTCGTAACACTATAATGACCTTTGCTTATTGTCACAAGTGCGCCGCATTCGCGATTGTTGCCCGACGCCTGTTTGCAGGTGAGCCCACTACAGTTGTTATACATATCTAAAAACCGATAAACTTTTAGGCGAAAAAGGCACTATTCCAGGCCCATTTTTGATTTTTTTTGCGATATTAGGTAAAAACAGAAGCTTCTTATCCTAGGAAAAATAAAATGGGAAATCTTTCAAAGGTGGCACACTACACGTTGTCAAATGGTTACCACAACGTCCCGATTTATCGTTGTGACAACGTAATTTTGTAGACTCCAGACAACGGCGTGACAACGTCATCCGACCATGCATTTGAATGTCATCACAACGTTTCTGTAACGTGGCCGTGACGTCCCAAAACTGTTCTTACAACGTCCCGCCAACGTTATGAAATGTTTTCCGTAACGTACCACAGGGCCTCCTCTAACATACCCACTGGGTGGGCAAATGCCCACCCAGTCACCACAATTGCCCACCCAGTGGCGTCGATTTGCCCACCCAGAAGCAAATGCAAAAATTCTGGTCCGGCCGGACGTCCGGTACTACCTGTCTGGTCTTAAGCAAAATGGATGCTGCTTGAAGGTCAAAAAAGTTTTCTGGTTGCCCGATATTCAGGGGCGTAGCCAGGATTTCCTCAAGGAGGGGGCCAAACGCACAGGGGCCCAAGATAACCCCCTCAAAATCCAAGAAGCCATCTGGTTGCATCCAATATTTTTTTGAGGGAGCCCAAATAAATAGAAAACATATTTCTTAAAAAATATTAGAACTGAGGGGGTAAGCAGTCCATGGGCCCTGTTAGATAGGCCCACGAATAGCTTCATAGAGTCGCCAGTCGGTTTTGAGGGCGGTCGGATGAGGGTTCTTCAGACCGTCACAGGCCCCTACAGCGCATGAGAGCCTCGTAAGCCGTCTGAGGGTCATATAAGCCGCCTAAGGGCCACTAAGACCGACAAAAGCCCTCCTTGCACTTGCAGAGGCCCAGTCATGCCGACTGAGGGCTCTCTTAGAGTAGGACTCGTTCAGGGCATTTGAGGGCTTCCTCAAACCGATAGGGGCCCCTCAGATCGACAGTGGATCCGATACGAGCTCCTCAAACCGATTTAGGGTCAGACCAACAGTCGGAACGCATTGATTCTGTTTACACACCGTTGGACCCAAGTTGGACCCATCCCATCCAACTGGCCCCCTGGTTTCAATAGGGCCCCAAGGCTCTAAAATTGGGGCTCTCTTGGCCAAAGTATAACTACTCAGCTGTGTCAAAGGATCTGCCGCAGGGGCCTTTGCGTCGCCAAGGGCCCACTGTGTCAGCCAGGGGCCCCTATAGAATAAGGACCCCTGGCTTCCAGGGCGGGGGGGGGCATGGTCCCTTTGGCCCCCTCCTTGGCTATGCCACTGCAGGTGACAAGCGTTCTTCCAGGCGACCAGGGGGCAGGGGCCAGGCGACCAGGCCCCCAGGCGACCAGGGGCCCCCAGGCGACTAGCCCCCAAGCGACCGGGGCCCCCTAGGCGACCAGGGGCTCCAGGAAACCGGGGGTCATCGGATGAGTGCAGGGGCCCATTGGGTCATCAGAGGGCCACAGAAATGAAACTTCGATATCAATTTTCTTCCGAGTAAAAGACGTTTTATCCAGTGTTTGAAAAAAATATCCCGGGGCCTGAGGGGCTCCCCCATGGCGCGTTTTGCGCTCAAGGGAGGGGGCCATTGCCCTCGTGGCCCCTCCCCCTTGGCTACACCCCTGCAGATATTGTTATTCATGGACAAAGCCAGCTAAATCTCTAAATACGGCTGAGCTGAACAAATAAGCAAGAATCATTACCGGTTCGGGTAGCCTTTACTACAATGCATTATCCCTCGCCGGACCTATTGGTTTTCTACATACGCGCCGGCCGAGGGGGGGGGGCGGGTACGACCCCCCCCCTCGCCGTTTCGCCCCTGGTGGAGCTAGCGCGTCGCGGAAAAAACGAGCGTGTGCGCCGTTACGAGACGCAGAGATTGGTACCCGATTTTAAGGTCCTAGGTCAACCGGTGACCTCTGAGGTCAGGTCAAGTGCCCCAAGGTACGGTTCAGTTTTTG